TTAGGGAGCATTTTTTTACGTGAAAGATATTTGAACTTTCTCACCAGTGGCGTCCGTACGGGGTTTGAACTAGTGATTCACACGAGACCAACGAGACGAGACTTTTATAAAGTCTCGTCTCGTCTCGCCGATGAAATATAAAGTCTTGTCTCGAGTCTCGTCTCGCAGCCCCGAGTCTCGTCTTGTCTCGCGTCTCGTACGAGAGTCTCGCAAAAGTATCGCAATTTCGTCATGCATAATCCTGTTCCAGTCTAGTACGGGATATTCACCTTTGCCTACTTTCTAGGTATAATGTAGAAATATTAGAAAGAGAAAATTACAAAAAAAATAACATTGTTTATGGAAAAGTAAGTATCTAATAGGTACATACTTACATCATACATCTAAACAAGAAAAAAAACATAGCATTATATATTCGAAAGTTATAAAAATGAAATAAAAAGTAACACGTATATTCTAGACAAATAAACAAAACAAAAACTTTAATCCAACATTATTTTACTTATTTGAGAAATAGGTATCTAAGAAAATAGTTAGTTGTTTCACTAGGCAGAAAAGAAGTCAATCTACATTTTCTGTCGTGTGAAACATAGAATTTTTCCTCCAAATGATATAAAAACAATTTTGTGTGATTTTTTATTGAAAACTCTAGAATTTCTTGAAACGTTGCATAGCAACAAACATTTTCTGCCTAGGCAGTAAAATTACACCTTTTCTGCCTGTTGAGCGGCAGGAAAAAGCCACTATTCCTGACGCTTGGAGAAAAAAACTTTTATCAGTCAGATATCAGCCTTCACAATCGCGAATGTTTTTGTTTTCCACCCAGTCGTTAAGACATAACAAACATCGTGCAGATTCATTATTAAGGCGATTCTGATGTTTTCTTACAGACTTTTTCCTGAATATGTTTTATTATAAATGCAATTTTCAAGTCTGCAGTCGGCACGCAGAAATATTTACATACGAGACTCTCGCGCGAGACACGAGAAGTCTTGCACGAGACTCGAGACGAGGCCAATGAAAGTCTCGTCTCGCCTTGTCCGAGTCTCGTCTCGAGTCTTGTCTCGAAAACGAGACGAGACCATGCGAGACTCTCGAAAACGAGACTCTCGCGGGCACCACTAGTTTGAACTGACAATTTTTGAAGAAAAAAATAGTACGTCACTGATTTTTCTGAGAACCAGATTTTTTTTTCAATTCTCATTCATTTTGGAGCAAATTTGTTTCCTAGACTTACTTTCATACAACGTACTGTTTTCACGTAAAAAAATAAAAACCAAAGAATTTTGTTCCTTCAGTTCTTGGGTATTGTTTTTGGTAATTCAGTATAGACACCCACTATACGTGGAAACACATTTTGTTTTGGGACGAAAATCAAAATTTCACTTTTACCAGTGATGTCCTCGTAGACCTGATATTGAATGTTCTGTTTACAAAAAACGCTGTACCCTTCTGATTTCAACACCCTGTAGCTCAAAAACTAAGAGGTTCAGGACATATGTTGATGTGAACTTCTCTCCTTGAAATCATCCAAGGATCATCGCCCTTTATGTTATGGGGCTTCACTTATTGCTCAAAATGATTCCTGCTTCATAACCTCTGTGAAACTGATGAAATATTTCGTATAAACCGCTTCGATATAGTTCAAATGGTTAGTGATTTTTAGTATATAACATCGAACAATTCTTGAAATATTACTGTATACCTTATCTTCAAAATGAACTGTATCTTAAGAAAAAATGTTTTAAAATAATTGTTCCATCCGTCTGTGGCGAATGAGTGAAGAAAAATTAATTGAACAATTCAGTAGGTATAATAATACTCTTTACAAAGTGTTCGAAACTGATGAACAAATAACTAGAAGGATAAAGTTTCAACAACATTTTTACGAGAACTCCGCAAAATAATAACATCAGACTCATCAGTTACAGGGGCTCCCGGTTCCAGAATATGAATCGATGATTTCTCATTTATTTTAAGAGTATTGATTGTGTTTATTATGACACATTCACCATTATCTTTTTGTTTCAGGACGTAGAAAGAAATTCTGAATTGAGAAAACCTAATCACGAATCTGCGATTAAAGGTTTAAAATAATGATAATAGTTCTTGGGCTATTCTTCTGTCTATAAATTGAAGTAGGTAATGAGTTTATTATTTCAATAAATATCCAAGTGAAGACAAATAAAATCTTTCGCCCTGATATTCCTTGTTCAATGCGTTTGAAAATGTCATATTGACAAGCCTAAAAGCGAAATCCAATGAATAGTCAGTCACATTCCATCTAAAAAAATGTTTGAAGAGGTGTATACAGAGCGTTTCGAAATTCGACAGACATATGGCATGACAGGTGATAGCCCTCGTGATTTCATAATTACTGAGATATGAAGATGCATATATACGATCCTCAAGTCATCAGTTCTCTAGATATATATATATATATAAGGTGTTGTAGTTGAGAAATATAAATAGTTTTTTTTCTGTAACGGGCAAAAAATTGGCATCTTATATCTGTTGACAAGTTATAAAATGTTATACTTTCCCGGGAAAAAGTGAGTACTCCGAATTCGACGTAGATAACTGTCTGATTTCAATATAATGTAATATCTTCTCAATATTGATTTTTCCTTTCCTCTGTCATAGAAAAAAATAATGTATTTTACGTGGGAAAATATTTGATAGTAGCTCACGGTTTTTTGTTGCCCTCCGCGACGCGTCAAACTGTATTCTTTCATTCATTGAGAAATAAATATAGATCTAATTGCAAACTACAACTCGCAATTGTCTATAATTGAATGATATAACTTGCAATTATCTATAATTGCATCTTGAAAATTGCAATTATTTATAATTGCGAGTGGCAACTTGAAATTATCTATAAATGCATGTCACAACTCGGCTGCCCAAAGAAAGAACACAGTAACTAACATTTCTCTCAAATTTGAGATTATAGCATAAGCGCACTTACTGTGTTCTGCCACGCATTTCTGTGTTTGAGAAATCAGAATCGGTTCGTAAATAACGATGTTATCACTTGGCCCTAACCCAGTAACTGCCCTGACTAAGATGGGGAGCACATAATAAAACACAGTATAAACATCTTCCTACGGAAAAACACAGTAACTGGGCTGCATCTACTGTGTTTTTCGATGGGATATGGAATTACTGTGTTTCAAATTGGTCTCACAGCTGATTTTCTGACCGGTGCAGAATCATTTTTCCCCACTCCAACCAACTAACTGCAACGTGCTCCGTGATTTCTGTCATAAATCGTTTAGTGGTGTTTGTTCTGAGCTCTAGTCTACTCACAACGAAAGCATGTCGATTTTGAAGAACTTTTAGACGTTGTAAGTTCTTCGAGGAAACACTTGAAAGTATTACAACTAGATAAATTCCATTCATGGCAAAACAAAAGAAGAACCACTAAGAAGACTGATGATCCTTTGAAAGGGCTCAGATGATTACAAAGTGCTGGATTTTCTTAAAAAAAAAAATATCTCAACTTTCTTTGAGCCGCAAGTGCTTCAAACACGTGGGATATCTTGTATAAAGAAGGTGAATATCCTCAAACAACTCGTTCCTCTGATGCCACTAAATAGACATTTTTTTTGGAATAAATTACCTGAATCCGAAACTTCTTTGGATTTAGTGGATAACGAACAAGGATTACCAGAAGGAGATGATCAATGTTGGTATTACAACGAGTGCTCAGCCATTTTTATAATGAACATCGCAACAATCGATTGCGATTTTTAAATACTTCTCCATAGGGAACCACAGGAATTTGTATTTATCTGTTCACTCTTCAGAAGTGTTTTTTGTTTATCCGTTAGAGTTAGGAAAATTTCTATATCTTTCATAACGAGGGATTTATTTGAATAGTTTGAATTTCCTTATCAGTTTAAATATGTTAGAATGTTAATGTGAATGCGACAATGACATTTGAATAAAAATATATTGTCTTATTTGTTTTTCCTTCCACAGTCAAGAACACAGTAATATCATTTGATGATTTTTTTTCCAATTGCTACATGAATTATCATTATTAAGAATACAGTAACAAAAGATACTGTGTTTTGAAATAGATTGATATATGAAGTGAGCAGTTACTGTGGTATTTTCGTAGACTTTTTGAAGTATTGAGAACAAAGTTAAAGCAGTTGCTGTGTTCTTTCGTGGATTTTTCATCAAAAGTAGCAGTTACTATGTTCTTTCATGTGCCCCTCATGGAAACTGTACTCAGAAGTACTATACAAAACCTTAATCTTTAACGCCGTATCGACTCTTATTCAATTAGTGTATTTTTTTCAATTTCAGAAGAATAACTAAGGTCCTACTAACAGTTTCTCCAAGTAACGTGAGTGTGTCTCAATAAATCGAGTGAGGCTATAAGAATATATCAAAAATGCATTTTTCTCAATATTAAATGTAATGCAATTACTGTGTTCTTGCTTTGGGCAGCCGAACTTGCAAAAGAGTTCAAAATTGCAAGTCACAACTTGCTATTATCTATGATTGCATGTTATAACTAGCAGTTACGTGTGGATAATTGCAAATTGTAACATGTAATTATAGCTAATTGCTAGCTGAAAGATACGTTCATAGATGATTGCAAGTTCGAACATGCAATTATAGATTATTGCTAGTTGTAACATGCAGTTATAGCTAATTGCAGTTTGAAAGATGCATTTAGCTATATTTGCTCATTACAACTTACAAGTAGCTAATCCTAATTGCAAGGTATAACTTGCAATTATAGATAATTGAAAGTTCAAACTTGCCATTATGGCCTCGATTACAAGTTGTAAAATATAATTTTAGATGATAGCAATGGCTAATTGTAAGTTGTAACTTGCGATTACAGATAATTGCTAATTGTATCTTGCAATTAGTACTTTTTACTAAACGGTGTCCGCTGAGCGCCTCCGTAGCAACAAAAAAAAGATTTTATCAATTTCTTTCTATTTATTATTTCTAAAAATACATATATAATCTAATGACTCGTATGTACAACAAAATATTTACAAAAGTATCGTCACAAAACACCGACAATATCATCGGTACAGCAAACTCTGCAATCTCTCAACCTCCCCATTGAGTGCCGCCAACCTAAACTTCATCTTCATATTCTCCTGTTCCAAAAACGCGCATCTGATCGCTATCTCATCCTCCTTGGCTTTCCTGGCATCCCTGGACCTCTTCGCTGCCTCATTGTTCTTCTTCCTCCTCTCCAGGTACTCAGGATCTGCACTCTTTTCGGTATGGTTCTGAATCCTCCTCATATTCTTGTTGCTGATGTTGTGACTGGCTTGCACCTGGGCGAGCATCTTGGTCCTGAAGTCCTCGTACGCCACTGAATCTGAGTCAGAAATGGGCGAGGTGGGCGGGACTACCCCAAGGTTCAGTGCAAGGGGGTCCTTGGGGAACGCTTTGAACGGCCTAGTCTTCAGCGCTGCACTGGGATTCGGGCTCATTACTGAGTTCTTGGGGCTGTTCTCGTAGCATTGCGATATTGGCTCGGGGCTTCTGGTGTAGTACGTTGTGGTTATGGGGTCCACGCATTCTGGGGTTCTCTTTGGGCTTGGGTAGCTGAGGGTGTAGTCAGGGGACTCGACCCTGCTTCTTTTTCTGACGCACAGGTCCAGGATCGTGTCAGGTGGTGGGCATTCTTGTTTGATGTAGAATGTGGGTGAGGTTAGGTTCAGTGGTACTGGGGACATGAAATGTGCCATCTGCAATAACAAAAAATAATAATTAGTGATTACTCTATATGTGTAGGTATTTCAGAATTATGAGTACTAACTTTAATAAGTCATTATTTTGGGAAAGTGTCTCTCAATTCTGATGTGCTTGATGGTTTAACTGGTGAATCGAGTAACGAATAGTGAGAAGAATATAATTCAGATCTAGATAAAATGATCAGCATTTTTATTATTTTGATGATTGGTATAACGTTTGATAATTTTGAGTTGAAAAAAATCTCCCATTGAACCGAAGTTCTAGAATTCAATAGTGATTTGTTGGCCATTAATAATAAGAAAAAATGAATAGGAAATGAAAATTCGAACATATCCAGAGTACGTCGATACCGAAAAAGCAAGTACATTTCAATTAGGCATTTAATATAGAAGGTGTCTCTTAAAGACCACGTCAAACCCATAGGGAGAATGTAGATCAAACCCAACTACATATGACAAAAGTCCCATTATAAAAGTCTTATACTGTCTCCAAGATTTTTTTTTTTGAAAATATCCACTACTACGACAGTTTTCAATAAAAATATGGTTATATCCTTTGGTCTACAATCTCCCTAGGTTTGACGTTGTCTTTACGGGACACCCTGTATATTAAATACCTATTGTATTGTATTGTAATAGCGATACATGAGTTTTGATGATTTCATTAGGACATTTTTCAACCAAATCAGTCCAGAGAGTATGAAATTGACTAACGATAATGATTAATGATTGAGAATAATGTTGATGGATCTTCTTCAGGGTATTTTATTATTCTACTCCTTCAGCTTTTACAATTTATGACTTTTATTAAATCAATGGAAGAAAATACGGTTTGAGTCTAAGTCTAAGAGAAAGATATATTACACAGGGTAAGTCATTGATATGGGAGACAAAGATTGCACCTACATTGCAGGCAGAGATTATACACTCAATCTCTGTTGCAGGTGACATCGAAATGAACCAAGCGACACTGCAAACGGGAGGTCGAAGTGCGGTTTGATAAATTATTTTGTCCTATACAGAGTGTACAATTTTTGCGAAACAAACTTTAAACTACTTTTTTGAAATCACACCTTGTGTTTTTTTACAAATAATTCTCTCACAATATTCAATTTTGGAAAAATCTATATTATATTAGATGAAGATGATAATTGATACGTTAAATATGACTAGGTGATTGAAAATATGAAGTGCCCTTTGAAAAAATCAAGTAATGTTCACAGTAAGGTGTGTTTTTCCCCTCAAAATATCCAAGGCAGTGGCTTCACACATGCAGGCAAAGTTCCATCAACTTAATAAAATAATAATATTCTCTGAATGTTTGAAGTTCATTGAAAAACCTAAATGGATTCATGCACCAACGACAAAATGACTAAAAATATACCTATGTTCTCTCCGTCCTTAGGTACAGCAATTCTTAAAACAGTGTAAATCATATTCTATAAAACCTATCATTCCATAAATCATCTAATTACTTCTTTCGAAACTCACCATTCACAGGAATTTCAAACAACTGGAACTTTCACAAAATCTCGGTCAAAATTTGCTTCTATTCACAAATAACTGTTTCTATTCTTAGGTGTTAACCCTTCTCGAAATCAAGTGAAACTAATGGCAAATTTCGAAAATTCGCTATTATTTGCAACCCTTTGGGAGTGGCTACGGAGAAAACTATCCCTCCCACCACTTCGGTGGTCATTTTGCACATCTTAAGGGGTTGTTTGGCGAGGGTGTACCGTTAGATATGCCAATTGTACCGTTTTTACCTGGAAATGAGAAATTTTATTATTATTAGTGAATTTGCATGGGACTACCCTAGACACTGGAGTAACTGTTTATGGATATATGGTTCGGAGATTTGTTTTTTATAACTATGCAGGAGGTTGTTATACAATTGCAGATTCTTCGAAAGGGCATCATAAAATATTTGGCATATTTTTTGCGATTTATTCCTGTTTTATTGTGTTTTTTTGAGCTTAGGAAGGTCGAAGCTTATGGAAATATGAATTTAGGTACCCTTGATCCTAGAAATTGCTCTAGCTCTCTTCTTCGAGATATTGTCAAAACTATGAATGATTTACACAAAACTGTAGCTAAGGAAATATAATATAGAGTTCAAATTATTTCCTTATCTTTATTGCATGACAAAAAAATAGTACTTTGTTTTATTGAATGCGACGCTTCGCGGTCACTACGCCTCGCAAACGCAAATTTTGCGAGTCAAACAGAGCCACTTTTGATCCGAATGAAACATAATATGCTATTTTTTCTGCAATCGAAATAATTGATATCTAATTAATAAAATATAAGTGGAGTTGCCACTGTTTTGACTCATTTGAGCATGCAGTGTCAAAGAAGCTGTCATATCATACACTTTTGGTTTCTAGGAGTTGAACTTCAACATTAGCTCCTAGACACTAGAAGTGTTGCCTAGCAATATACATACTAATTATTTCATTATATCAGTGAATGAAACGTCAACTTCAACAGATCATTTCGAAATGAAAATGGACGACTTTTGAGTCGATTGCAGACAAAAAATAGTTAGTTAGACGAAAGGCTGCGAAGTAACTTTTTGGAGTGATAAAAGCGAGGATAAAAGGATGTTATTACCGAGGCCAATGCAGAATAATCTTGAGGTCGCCAAGAATATTCGCGGCCATGGTATATATCTACTATTTTTAGATGAGATTTTCATGAAATCCTAAGAGTTTTATTTACATTTCAGCGTTTGTGGAATTTCGAAAATTCGGATTTTCAAGGCGTACTTCTGTTTGTTGAAGGGTTCATAATGTTTAAAACGACTATAAAGAAATTCTATTCAAAACAGTGACTAGCCTTATCGATTCAGGAATAGCATACGAAATTTGAACTCAATATCTCATATAAGGTGTTTGTTATTCAATATGGAAAATTCCATAATTCTTGCCCTTTCGATTCACCCTGTGATAAAATCTAAGGAGTTGATATAACCGATAAGGTGGTGATTCAATGGAAAAACAAATACAAAGTTTTGTCATGGCAATTTCTAAAGGAATATGTCTCCAGGTCAACCAAAATCAATTCAACTTGAGTTGAGGTTTACGATTTATAAAACTCAAGCAAACCGATTTTCACACACTTTACAACAGATTAAATTTGAAAATCGTCTAGAGTGATAAAAAGCTAGCGAATATAACACAAATAATATTATATTGTTTTATTAGGATCAAACAAAGTCAGTTTTACATACATCCAAAAAACAAATGCACCCAGATAACAGAAGTATGTCAACGAATCATAATTCTCATATGTCAGTTCGTTATAGTTTCAGTTATATTATAGGAAGATAAAAATTGTGTATATCATCATAGATGAACCAATGTTTCATCTATGATATCATGATGAATGGCAGAAAAAATAACTGACGTTCAGGTTACTGATGAGGATTTGATATCCGAAATGAGTTGATTCGAGTGAAGTCATATAACCTGTTTCTTAGAGATATAATTCCCATATCAAGTTCGATCGAAGCTCATCAAGATCAGAGTTTATACAAGTATACTTCTCCTACACATTTCAATTTTCATTTCAATACTGAACATGTTGGTAAGTTATATTACTATATCATAATTCATCATATTATTTTATCCGATTTGAGAGATAATGTAAATTCTCAATTTCAGAGGATTTTCATTTTTCTTCCTCTCTTTTTGGATGTTTAACAGATATAATTAAATGTTCGACGTGGCAAATAGCCAGGAAAGTAGTTGTTTTCTGTTGAATATTCAGAATGATATTATGTGCATATACATATCTCTATATGCAGGAGAATGCAAATTTCTCTACTTCAGTAGGTTTTTTTTTCAATTTCTTATCGTGTGTTTAACAGATATAAATCAATGTTCGTCGTGGCATATAGCCAGGAAACTAGTTGTTTTTTGTTGAATATTCAGAAATATATTATATGCATATCTTTGTATGATGGAGTATGCAAATTCTCTACTTCAGAAGATTTTGTTTTCAAATTCTTATCGTGTGTGTTCAATAGATGTAATTCAATATTCGTCGTGGCATATAGCCAGGAAAGTAGTTCTCTGTTGAATAAACCGAGAAAGAAATGATATTTTCATCACATAGATAATGCGAATTTTCAATGTATTTCTTTATATACCATCTATAATATCCATTTTTATGTGTTCATAATTTCATCTGAGACTATTCCTTACCTAATACATCTAGAGTTGTTGCGAAAGTGTCCCTTTTTTACTAGGAAAAGGTGTGGAAATGAGATTTTTTCATGAAATGTATACCAAAAGTTCACTGTCAAAAATGTAAAGGCAATTTGGGAAAGTATCAAACTATGCCATTGATTCTATATGATAATGCCTTCAAATTGCTATGAATGAATCAAATAGACCCACAATAAATTTCGGAAAAAATCAACAAATAGGGTTTTTTGAAATTTTGACCCCTTGAACAAATAAAAGTAGGCCTGAAATATCTGAATAGTTCAGATGTGTCCACCTTTTTGATTTTAGCTCGTTGAGTACTATATATTATAAAATTTTTGTTTTTGAAAATAGCTCATCGTGGTTCAAATTAGGAGGGTGTGGCAGGTTGAAATCGCACATACTGTTTATTCTTGCAACCATTCTTTATCTTTATAATGATTAGATAGTTTGAATCACATATAAACTCTACTGAATGGATGGATGAATAGCTTCCTATCAATAATTTTCAACGAACATATTGATATGAAATATAAAAACAATTAAGAGATTTTCTAGAAAGTACCTATAGGTATAGAGCAAATTATATTATAATTGTGATTAATTAACTGAAATACCACTTCCGACTCTGTAAAGAAGATTATTTCAGGTATATAAAACGGTTGTTGATGTTCCCATAGATATACTTTTTAATTGGGAACTAATTGACAAAACGAGATTTGTTATTATAATATGCATAATTGTGTCAATTTGGGTAATCAACAATGATATTTATCACATGAA